GAGCACAGGCAGAATTGGCGAGAAATTAGTTTGCCTTCCTTATGGAACCCGTGCATTCTGGTCTCTCGCCAAGGCTGTCCAGGGTAATTTCTGTCAGCCATCTCTTCCATCTCTGCACAGGGAGGACGACTCACCGGCCCATACCGCAAAGGAGAAAGCCGATCTTTTAGGCTCTTTCTTTGCGTCCAACTCGACCCTCGATGACGGGGGGAGTACGCCGCCGACCATCCCGCGGTGTGAGTGCTCCAGCCGGAAGTGCAGTTCACACAGGGCTCGGTTCGCAAAGCACTCCTCTCCCTGGACATCCACAAGTCGAGTGGGCCTGAAGGAATCCCTCCAATTGTGCTGAGGACGTGTGCTCCAGAGTTGGCGCCGGTTTTAACGCGTCTTTTCCGGTACTCCTACTCCCTAGGCGTAGTCCCAAAATCATGGAAGACGGCTTTCGTCCACCCGATCCCTAAAAAAAGGTGACCGCTCAGACCCGTCCAACTACCGGCCCATCGCCATCACCTCCTTTTTCTCCAAAACAATGGAGTCCATTGTAAACTGCCAGCTCATGAGGTACCTTGAGGATCACCAGCTGATTAGTGACCGCCAATACGGTTTTCGCCGTGGTCGGTCAGCTGGTGATCTTCTGGTCTACCTAACTCATAGATGGGCGGAGGCAGTAGAGTCCAAGGGGGAGGCATTGGCCGTTAGTTTGGACATTGCGAAGGCCTTCAATCGGGTTTGGCACAAAGCGTTTCTTTCGAAGCTCCCTTCCTATGGGCTTCCCGAGAAATTGTGCGATTGGATCACCAGCTTTCTTGCAGATCGGGGCATCAAGGTCGTTGTAGACGGTGCAAGCTCCGATTGCAAACCTATTAACGCTGGTGTTCCACAAGGCTGCGTGCTATCGCCAACGCTGTTTCTTCTGCATATCAATGATATGTTGCAAACCCGTAACATTAATTGCTATGCAGATGACAGCACTGGTGATGCTCTTCACACCGGCCGAGCCAATATTTCTTGGAAAAACGTCTCCGAGTGCCGGGACAAACTTGTGTCTGAAGTCGAGTCTTTGCTGAACAGAGTCTCGGATTGGGGGCGACTAAATCTAGTCCAGTCTAACCCCCAGAAGACACAAGTTTGCGCGTTAACCGCTAAAAAAACCCCTTTGTCGTATCTCCTCAGTTTCAAGGCACTCCCCTTGTTGCCTCAGCCAGTATCGGAATCCTCGGCGTCGAAATATCGAGTGACGTGCAGTTTCGTGGTCACTTGGAAGAGAAGGCCAAATTGGCCTCTAAAAAGCTTGGCGTGCTCAGCAGAGCGGGACAGTATTTTATGCCGGCACACCGTCTGCAACTTTATAAGGCGCAGGTTCGGCCGCACATGGAATACTGTTCCCATCTCTGGGCTGGGGCTCCCCAGTACCAGCTCCTTCCACTTGACCGCATCCAGCGCAGAGCGGCTCGAATCGTCGACGACCGAGTGCTTTCCGATCGGCTCGATTCACTGGCACTGCGAAGAGATGTTGCATCTCTTTGCATTTTCTTTCGCATATACCATGGAGAGTGCTCTGAGGAATTGTTCGGATTAATCCCAGCCGCCAAATTTCATGAACGCACTACGCGGCAAACGTCCCGATACCATCCACACCATCTGGATGCTTGGCGGTCCACCACTGTACGTTTCAAGAGGAGTTTTCTTCCGCGTACAACCTCTCTGTGGAATAGTGTACCACCAGCGATTTTTTCGTACCGATACGACCTGGAGACCTTCAAGAAAAGAGCTTACTCCTTTCTAAAGGGCCGGCAACGCACCTGCAATTCCCCTGGTGTTGCGGTTGATCATAGGCGGCGGTAAACTCACTTAACACTTCACTTCAGGTCACTTAACATCAGGTGAGCCGCATGCTCGTATGCTTGCCCCCTCTTCTATAAAAAAAACGATCAGACCAAGAAACTGCATTTTTAGAACATCTTAATTCCATAAACTCTAAAATTCAATTTACTATGGAGTTAGAGGCAAATAATTCCTTACCTTTCCTAGATGTGTCAGTCATCCGAAATCCTAACAACACCATTGGTCACACTGTGTATAGGAAATAGACCCATACAAACCGATATTTAAACGGTGAATCTCACCACCATCCTTCACAGTTAGCTACCGTGGGCAAATCTTTGTTACAGAGAGCACGAGGGATCTGTGACAGCAAACACCTGGCCGCCGAGATTCAGCACGTCAAGCAAGTTCTGCACGACAACAAGCTTCGGGTCCCGCGCCTACGTCACAGTGACCGAGTGAAGCCGGCCACAGTCGAGCGTGTGCCTACTGTACTACCATATGTTAGAGGTGTCACAGACAAGATTGGCTACATCTTGAAGCGAGCTTCTATTAGAACATTCTACAAGCCGCCGAAGAAGATTAGTTAGTTCCTACCATCAGTCAAGTGTCATATTCCTCTACAAGATGCAGGAGTGTACAAGCTTGATTGTGAATGTGGTCTCTCTTATATAGGACAAACAAAAAGATCAATTAGAACCCGCGTAAAAGAACATATAGCTGATGTGAAGCATCAACGTTCCGGGAAGTCTGCAGTTTGCGATCATATCCTAGACGGCCCCAACCATTACATCAGATTTGATAGACCACAAATCCTCGCGAAAGAACACCGATTCCTACCAAGGATGATAGGTGAGGCTATTGAAATTAAAAAACATCCCAATTTCAATAGAGAAGGAGGCTGGGTACTACCACCTGCTTGGGATCCTATAACCAATAAAATTAAAACTAAGCCCAAGCATACCACTGCAAGACCTCAGGACATAGTCAGTTCATTTTTCATAGATCGGACCATAAAAAATAATTTAAAAAAAAAGCTGAAGGTACTCCGGGTTTAGCAATGACATCGGGACGGCAGTCATCTCAGTCCCCCGTGACCATGGGTGCTGGATGGGTGCGCCCGAAACTCGGGAATGGTCGGGAATTAAAAATAATAGTAAAATAAACGCGATAAAATCCGTAAAAGTAGTTTTAATCAATGTGTAGTGTTCGCGTAAATATATAACATAGTGAAAATATCGGTAACAGAGATGCTAACCATACTGATGATTTCCGGCGAGCTAAAGGAGTGCGGGGGGGAAGCGGGCGTGGCATCGCATTCCAGCGATGCGTCAAGTTAATGTGACCGCGTTGTAGAATAGTTGAAAAAGTGGCCATATGTAAGCAGTAAATAACAGTTCAAAACTCTCCACAATAGCGGTGGAGTAGCTGGTGGGATGAAATGAACTTGCAGTTGTCAACGGTTTAAGTCTGCTGCTAAACTGCTCAGTAGCTCTAAAATCTTATATAATTTTATTTAGTAAATATAACCTCGAAAAAGTCGTCTATCCCACTAATATTTTTCGGTGCGTTCTTTAAAATTTACCCCGTAATTATAGTGGCGCCACCCTTATTTAACGGTTTTCTGTGGACATTTTTTAATACACAGTCTGTACTCCATTACTTTACTCTATGCTGTACTCCTTCTTCACACCATGTCGATTCACTATTTAAAAAATCGATCTCTGAATCGATTTGAACCGAAAATACTAGAATCGATTATCGATTAAATCGAGGATTAAAAGATCGATTTTCGATTAATCGCGACATTTTTAAACACATTTCAAGAATTTGCGACTTTTTCTTTAATTGAACTTTAATATTTTTTTTAAATAATATATTAGTAATCTTATTAATTAACATTACTATTATTCCTTCGAACCACTCCTGGTAAGCTTGAAACGCTTGTATTAGGTGTGGCTCGTACATACTCCACTCGATCCCTTTTTTTACAAAGTGATTCCATGTATCACTTTTATTTTAGGCTAAAAACAACAACAATACATTAACAAAAGTGCAAACTGCAACGTACATTTCTCGATAAATCTGTTTCCATCTAAAAACTCACTATTTATCAAATCAAAATGAATGCTACACGAACAGAATACTGGTTATTTCCTTACTATAAAATTTCAAAATATAATATTTATTTACAGTATCTAGGTATTTAAAAAAGTACTCTATCTGTATTTACAACTCACAGTATGTATATTTTTGATAATATGCACAAGTTCACAGTTCAAACAGGTTCACAGCTATAATATTATATTGTAGTATGTATACGTAGGTAGTCTTTGTTCACAGCACAGATTAAGTTAGAACAACATTCCACAGGTAAGATTAGAGTTAGAATTGTATAAATGTAAATAAAAGACAACTTTTCGATATTGTTGGATGCTTTCATAAATATTTATTTTATTCAAATATATATTGCGTTCAAATCATCAATTTCATCAAATCTGTTATTGCGTCCCCCAACAGCAAAAAATTAAAAAACTGCGGTATATTACCCCAGCCAGTTTGGGTATTTTATCGCTAGTTCTTGAATCAGAAGAATCAGTCCGATTCGAGAGATTTTTGGATCGATTCAGTGAATTGATGTAGTGCTCCGAATAAATCTAAATAATCGATTGTTTTACTACAAAGAATCGATTTTTCGATTAATCGATTTTAGATCGACATGCCTAGTACATAGTAATCTATGACACTCTCCATTAGCTTGCTACATAGTCAGTAATCTATGACACTCTCCATCTTCTACGCTCCATACTCCATAGTTTACTTGTATGTTTATTTATAAAAATATTAAATACAATCTGCTACATATTTATTTATCTATGAATACAATTAAATTTAAATCTTACGTTTGTACAAGTACAATATCGAAAGATTATATTTATTTTTAAATAAACACTAATCAGTCATTATTCTCGTTTAAATAAATTATTCAAAGTATACCAAAAGAAATAATGCAATTCTTTAAATTTCATTCTATTGCTATATGTTTGTGTATTTTTATTGTTTGATACTTTTCTGTGATATATTTAATTGTGATAATTTCTAAATTATTTGGCTAAAAACATTTAGCATTACGATTTCTTTGTTTTATTTCTTCCATCAAAAGATTTTATCATCAAATGGATAGACGTGTAAATCATAAAAAATTTAAATATCATGGAAATAAATATAATGCACGGAATTTCCCATCATTCAACTATTTAGAATATAATGCATGTGAATTTGAAGAATCGCCCTCGACAGCAACTGTAATACCTACAGAATGTGAACCTGATATAGAAGCAGAAAATAGAGATAGTAAAGGCAGGAGGATAATTCTGAGAGAGTTTTTATATGAGGATCCAGATTTATTTGACAGTAATAAGTAAGTATGTATCAACTATAAGCATATTTTAAGCTTCTAACAAATTAGGTCACTAACTTATTTGTACATAAATTGCAAACAGCAATACTTTAAATATAGAATTAAGTGCAGGCTGAAATAATCTTAATATGATTGGTGATTTTTCTTTAAATACCTGAAATTTATTCATTTATTAGGTATAATTGAATACATTTCTGGTAGGTATTTAAAGATTGAAAGTATTGATTTTTTTTTGGAAAGTATTTAGCAGATTTATTAAGAATAATTAGGCATTTTATTATTCTTAGTAAATCTACTTGTAAAACTAGACCTGCTGGTACTTGTGTATGGGGCTGAGAGGGGGTGGGTTATTAAAATCAAGTACTGGACGTCTATAGCCGATTCAATCTACTGCAGAGTTCATGCAAAATAAAGCATTTTAGTTCATTAAACTTTTTATATAAAGTGTGTCCTATACTGCACAGATATGATAAGATATTTATATCTGAGTGCATATCTTTCAATATTGCTCGCTATAAAATTCTATCTAGTCTATAAAAGTTTCTAGTCGAAAAAATGTGATTAAGTTTGCCTTGGTCCTTTTTAAGCTTTATATGATATTCAATACAAATTCTTTGCCTTAGTAAATGGCATATTATAAAATACATCAATACAAAAAAAGATAATATAGGAAGTATTAAGTTGTATAAACTAGTAAGAAGTTGTATGTCACGAAACTGTTTCCTTCTTTTAATGTTAATTATATATATTTTTTTTGCAATCTGTATGCTCATAACATAATGTATATATATTTATTTTGATAATAAAATATCTTTAACCATAAATGCCAATGCAACACATGCATCAAAATCAAAAATCTTTTTCTGACCATCTGTTTAGCAAATCTAGAAGCAATATGGGGCAACTCATTGTAGGTAATACTCTGTATAAACTATTTGCTCTAAAACACATCTAGTAAGTTTGAAGGTTTTCGAGTAAATATGTCTCATCATATTTCATATGTTATCATCTCTGCATAGTGTGTGATGCTTTCAGGTAATTAAAATTTTATACACAGATAAAATATTATTGTATTTGCATAGTCTGTAGTGGAGAAATTGAGTATATTTTTAAAAAAGGTACATTTTCTTGTTACGTTTCACCTCAAGTGCTGCATGAGTAATAAATTATTATTATATGAAAAATAAGAATGATATGCCGTAAAGAAGTTTCACTACATGTGTACACAATTACATGTACAATGTTTTTTTTTATATGGCTTGCAGTAACTAGATTTTTAACTATTATAAGCCAGAGTTAATACTTTCCTACCTTATGAGATCATAAAATTATGATTTACGTCTAGGTCATCATTGTCATAAAATGTGTTAGATGTAAATAAGGGTATAGTATATTACCTGTGGAGGCTCTTTCCATTCATACTAGAGCTAAGTAGTTGGATAAAAATCTCTGGATCTGTATGTGTAATTGGAATTAGAAACAATAAAGTTAGTGCTGAGCAAACCAATGTCTCACCTATGCCGGTAGTTGTTGGGAGCACTATGCTCGAAGTTGTTGACAAGTATGTTTACCTGGGACAAATAGTCCGACTAGGTAAGTCCAACTTCGACCGAGAGGTCAATCGAAGGATCCAACTCGGCTGGGCAGTGTTCGAGAAATTACGACACGTCTTCTCGTCAGGTATACCTCAATCTCTGAAAACTAAAGTGTACAACCAGTGCGTGTTGCCAGTGATGACTTACGGATCAGAGACGTGGTCCTTCACTGCTGGCCGTATGAGGACGCTCAAGGTCGCTCAGCGAGCTATGTAGAAGACTATGCTCGGAGTTTCTCTGCGTGATAGACTCAGAAATGAGGATATCCGCAGTAAAACCAGAGTGACCGACATAGCCCAACGGATTAGTAAGCTGAAGTGGCAATGGGCCGGCCATATAGCTCGAAGAACCGATAACCGATGGGGAATAAAGGTTCACGGGTGGCAGCCTCGTACCGGTAGGCGTAGTGTAGGGCGACCCCCCACTAGATGGAGTGCCGACCTGGTAAGACATGCAGGAAGTCGATGGATGCAGGTGGCTCAGGGCCGTGCTTTGTGGCATTACTTGGGGGAGGCCTATGTTCAGCAGTGGACTTGTGAAAGGCTGTAATGATGATGATGAATGATGAGCAAACCAATAATCAGTACTGTGCATTTAGTTTTGTGGGTAGGAGTCCTATTAAATATGTGCATTCCTATGTGCATATCGCACATAGGAATGCACATATTTAATAGGACATGGTTAACTAATATGCACAGATATATTTCATTTTACTTTCACTGCTTACAGTTGGTGTAAATCTTAATGTACCTCTAGACCAGACTCGGCATCTGAAGGAAAATTATCTTTTTAGGTACATTTTACTAGCAACTCTTTAAAACTTGCTGCTGTCATTCTCACATTGCCATAATGAGAACTTTCCAGCAGTCTGTTTTTTTTTGTTTTTGTTTTGTCAACAAGTACAAATAAACAGAGAGCGCTTAGCCCCTGAACCGTGGTAGCTAAGGGGCTAAGCGCTCGCTGTAAATTTCACAGTATTCAAGCAACCCGGGTATGATCCTCATCGGCACCATTAAAATTATTAATTGCAATTTTAAGTGCTGATTTACCACATGTTCAGAAAAGAAATAAAAAAAATATTTCTAGGACATGTGAAGTTCTTCACCAACACGCATTGGGGCAGCATGTTGGACATTTCCTTTCCTTAAAACCCTCTCAGTAATTAGAGGAGGCCTGTGCCCAGCTGTGGGACGTATATAGGCCATTAGTTTATTTTACTAATTATTAAAACCTTGTTCTTTTTCATTCACTTAATTGTTATTCTATTAAAATGTTGAGTTACCCTTAACACATAAACTGTAATAAGGGTTACCACTAACACATAATTATTATAATATATATAATAATTATGGGGTATATTTTCGGACCGAAAATATACCCATAACAGCAGAGACTGGTTGAAAACCAGTGTTGGCCATAATTCCCAGCGAATACTGAGCCTGTTCCTGATGCCTCGCATTATTGTTAATTTTAAATGTTCATTTTGTATTGATTTTTTTAGTCTTTATTTATGTGTAGGTATACTTACTTAGTTTTTATTTGTATACTTATTATTTTGTGGCAATAAATATTATTATTATCTTTTTGTTTTTATCTCCCATTTTGAGGGGTAAAGAAAAATATATTCAGCGGGCTTAACACCATGCTAGAATGATATATCTTATGTGTATATAATCTATATTATTATTAATAATAATAATTTAGTAAAAATATTAATAATAATTTTTCTAGCAAATTTAAACAACATTATGGATTGGAATGGGATATACAACATTGGAAGAAAGCAGGGGAGGCAGAGACACTAGATTCTAGCTTTGATGAGAACCAAATTAGCCAAAGAAGGCCGAATAAGGTGGAAAAGGAATTAAATAAAATGCTGTCTCAGCCTGTTAATATGACTAAAGCAGAGAGGTAATCTTACTATGTATTTATGATAAATGTTTTGAAAACTTAAATAATCTGTTTAAAAATTGTAGCATGGAATTTAAAACCAAGAAAGTTTTATAATTAAGGGACGAAATTTGATAAATTTTGCTTTTTTGGCACTGTGTTCATAATATCAGTTTGTAATGTAGCTTGAGATGAAGTGCAAAGACAGTGAAAATAATCCTGATGCCTGATTGGTACATTGTTTGTTTAGTAGTTATTCTTAACCAACACTCCTCCATTGTAATCCGGTCTTAGGACCAGCAAAACACAGGTACAGTATGGTGCAAGCACCATATTACGAACCCATATTTTTATTTATTATTCAAATTCATTCATTATTTATTTATTTATTCAAAGTACTCATCACTACTTGTATTGGTTCTAAAAATTTATCTAAACAATTAAATAAAATTTAAGTGTCCGTTGTAATGTCAAAATAACAGCTTTTTTCCAATGCATATGAAAGTATATATGGTACTACTAATATAAAAACCGTTTGTAGTGACAGTAGCCTAATGGCAGGGTGCGGATCGCGAACTGAAAAGGTCGTGGGTTCGAATCCGCCGTTTGACTACTATCGTGAACCACTCCTAACACAAGCGTTTCAAGCTTACTAGGAGTGGTTAAAAGGAATATTAGTAATGTTAATTAATAAAATTACTAATATTTAAAAAAAACATTTTTAAAATTTTTGCTTGTCTATCTGTTTGTTCCGGGTAATTTCCGAAACGACTGAACTGATTTTGACGGGACTTTTACTGCTAAAATTATGAGTAACTTAGGCTATTTTTATTTTAAAAAAGAAGGTACTACGCAAAAAAATTAAAACCCATGAAATCCAATCGTAATATATACCACACGGGTGAAGTTGAAGGAACAGCTAGTTCCCAATAAAGTTGTCTAAAACTCAAAACGCATGCCAACTTCTATATCAATACTAGCCAGGGTTGCCATTTCGAAAATTTAAGTTGCCGTGTTTTGGGATCTGGATTGCCGCGTTTTGGAATAAAAACTTCAAAATTGCCGTGTACATTTTTATTTATTTAAAATTAACACGTAAGATGAAACATGACATAAAAACATTACTCTTCACAGTCATCATACAAATTTGTTATCATATCCACAACTTCTTCATTTTTATTCAATTTATATTTGTCATTTTCCTTTATATTGTCTATCATTTGTTTTGTCGGTTTGAAATTTACACAATTTCCTTGGGATCGGATAAAGTGCTTAGCTAGTACAGTTAAATAAAGTAAATAAACAGCAGTATATCTTTTTAATGTACTTTTACAGAAAATTAAAGAATGAAATGAATACCATAAACAATGAAGAGTGCGCGAATGTATGTCCTATTCGCGTCGGAATTTCCCCGCTCATAGTCATGATCGACTACCGATAAAATTTTCAGAAAAAAATTGTAACCATTGGATTGCCGTGTTATAGAACACGGCAATTAATAAGCTGCCGTGTACCGTGTTTTATTGCTGAATAGACCCAAAATACCGTGTAAATGGCAGCGCTGATACTAGCTGGCTCTTTTTTTATTTCCAAATACTACATAATCACTAATTGTTATGGTCGCCTGTGTTGCTATTTGTGTAAGCACAACACAGCTTAAATCAAAATTATGAGAACATCACATACAAACAATTACAAGTTAATAGAAATGTTTTTTTTTTAAATCAGTGTTAGCACAGCAAATTTTAAGACCATAGCTCTCCAAAGGCCTCCTACAAAGATTACCACAAAATACTGTTGTGAGCCACTTGCATTTATCTAATGAAAGGAGGCCCATTCTACAATGTTTACTGGTATGAGGTCACTAAATCTATGATCTCTAATGCATTTCAGAATGATGCAGAAAATGGGTTGGCAAGGAGGTGCTCTAGGCAAACATGGTGAAGGTATAATTGAACCCATTGCACCAAATGCTTCTTATGTAAGTAGTCATGTCCATCATGCATACATGTATACGAAAATTTTCAACATAAGTGTTTGAATACTGTTCAAGCAGTTTTTTAGATAAGAATTGTACAAGCATCTTAAATAAGAACAAAATTCTTGTAGTTGAACTCTTTTGCATAATACAATTTACCAGGTACACATCTTCTTAGGTTGTTGTCATTAGTGAAATAATAAATGTTGTCAATTAATTATTTAATTTAGTCTATCCACACATACATACATTACAGCCCTTCACAAGTCATTGCTGAACATAGGCCTCCCCAAAGGTATGCCACAAAGCACGGTCCTAAGGCACCTGCATCAATCGACTTCCTGCATGTCTTACCAGGTCGTCACTCCATCTAGTGGGGGGTCGCTCTACACTACGCCTACCGGTATGAGGTGGCCACTCGACTATGACTTATTAAAATACATGATTTGATTAATTCGGTTCATAATACTTATTTATATTAATGAATGTTTGTAGAAGCTTCATCTGACATTTTACAACATAGTCGAAAAATGCAGAATTTTGCACTATCATGGTAATTTGAAATATATCCTGAAAAAGTCACTATGAAATCTACTAAGTTCATTAGGTCAAGTCATTTAGTGGTTACACAATCACTAACAGATGCACCAAAGGTTATAAATATATATACGTTACCAAGTTGTTAAGGGCAATTAGAACCCTTAATTCGTTTATAGATTCTGGTGTCAGGTTGTAATCAATTTTTAATAAATTATTATACAATAAGTCGCTTAGTGAGCCAGCTTCACTCGAACATCCAGGAAAAGATACTTGTACTTTGTTTTGGTTGGTGGCTTTACTAATGTTTTTATCTTTTTTTTTTGCTTGTATTATATCATTATCTTCCATTTTTTCTTCAAAAACACGCGCCAAATTTTTTTCGGAAGCGTTTCACTATGAATTTAAAGTCGTAAGTAACTATTACGTAAATAAAGGGCGGGAAAATAAATGAAATGTCGACAACCATCTAAACGGTAATGAAGTCAGATTCTCACTAAAACGCATACGCCCTCGCCACCAGTGCGATAGCGGACATCCACATACAAGTCGTATTCGTCCGGTATCGCACTGAATGCAATGTTTTTTCGTTCTGCACATACAAGGCAAATATGCTATGCATCCTTTTCTGTTGTAATAAAACCGTCTTAAAGTAAGAAGCAATAATAAATATATATTTGTCTCATTTTAACTCACAGAATATCGTACCTAAAATGACTGAGTGATTAAAACTAGTTTTTGGCGCTCGCACCGCGGGAAAGTTCATTACCGGCTACGCACTAAACATGTTAATATACCAGGCAAATACTTCAATTCAAACTGATATGGCAGCAATTTGAATCTCATCCATTTTATACGACTATTAACTATATATTACTTAATATCCTTTGTAAAGATGAATGATCAGAAAAACTGTATGATATACATATTAATCGAACTTGGTGATTGCAAAAACAACAGCAAGCATTTCTCTCTCTGAGCATAAAGTACGGCCAACGAGAAGCAATACCAAATGTAAATAAAACCAATGCACGGTTATAAGGAATAGTAGGTGTGCGTAACTTTTTGGTAGTTAGATTATATATTTCAGTAGACAATATAGTTTTAAAAACTGTGTAGTAAAGAAAAAAAAATAGACTTTATATAAATTTTCTTATAATTTGAATTATTGTATAATGTATATTAAAATTAAATAACGAGAACAATAATAATGTTTCTGAATATCGCTTGACTAACAACTGTGTGCTCGGCCCGGTGTATGGCAACTGGCTTGCTACCTGTTACATAGGGACTTAAATATATCAGGCAAAATGTGGGTGTTAATATCTCTGCCTACCCCTTATGGAATACAGGACTGATGATATGTTATGTTATGTTTATGGAAATGAGGATAAAAATATATTTTTTTATTTTTTTTGTGGCTCCATCATTAACCACTCTTAATAAAAAAACAATTATCAACAAAACTAAATGACAATAATTAAATAAACAACAAAAAATAACAAAATTTTTAACATATAACTTGTTGGCCACCAAGAACGCGTGCCGCAACGGAATTAATCACTATTATTACTAAAATGGCCTCCCGAATGTTGGTGAACCTGTCTTGACTATGACATGTTTTTGCCTGGAAAACGAGACATTACGACAAATACATAAGGTGTAAAGAGATAGATAATAGATTGTCAACTCCACAGTCGTTTTTAAGGTAATCGATCTTTCATATCGCTGCTAGTTGGCCGTACTTCAGTTGAATTCACAATCTGTCGGTATCTTCTTGAAAAAGTGCAACCAAGAGCATCTTTACCAGCATCAGTCTGGATTTCTATTTTTTATAAGGATCAAAAGAACTCAATAATGTGGCAAGGCCAAGTAGTTCTTTCAATACAACAAATTTTTTATCATGAAGTGTGGTCCATATCCATTCTGACCCCTTTTTCAGTAACAGCCGGAAAGGTGACGAAACCTGAGATAAGTTTGGAAAGTGGCTGCGCAGGAAGTTCACCATTCCTAACATTTTCTGAAGTTCCTTAACCTTAAGTGGTACCTTTAACTCATTAATAGCGCGGATTCGATTTGCATCTGGCTTATGCCCATATTCATTAAACAAAAACACCAAGAATTTGACTTCTTTAACAAATTTTAAATGTTTTCTACTTTTTTTAGAAAGAAAGAAAGACAAAACCTTATTTAACATAACAGTCTTATCAACATAGTTGTTATTAGCTGACTGAGAATTAATGTTACTTCTTACCAACTTAAAGACTTCTAGCTGTTGTTGTTCTTCCCGTTCCTTAATTGCACGCAAGTTGTCGGCTGCCATTTCCTTAGATTTACAGAACTCGACGTATTTACTCAACGAGGGATCTTCACGTAACAGGTGTTCACGGGTTTGGACAGAATTGAAAACCCAAAACAATTACGCCTTGAGAAGCTGATCTTCTTGTTCCCCAAACAAGAAAGAAAGAAGAAATTAGAGACGTCAGTTGTGCATAGAAATATTCAAAAGGCTCATTTGCACCTTGCCTCTTATTAAAAAACGTAAACACCTTCATTGTTTCGGTTTTCTTCGGCATAGACTGTTGTTCAAGGATGGTCAATATTGAATCGACAGTTTTTTTTATCACAGGCTGTCGTAGTGATTAACATATAAATTTTTAAAGCTTAATGGGGTCTGAACCCCATTAAGTTTTTAAGTCTGGCGACTTGAACCTCTCGAGGTTTACTAAGTCTCTGACTAAGAGGGCTAAGAAAATCAAAGAGTGGGATATTTATAGTGCAGCCCTAACTGAATATAATAAAGAAATCAGGAAAGCCAAGAGAGCATCGTGGAGGAAGATTGAGTCTTTGCCTCGCAGTGCAAGACTACACAAGATGCTATTTATTTATTATTTCTTTTTTGTACACCACAATACAGAAACATCAAGTACAGTTAAAACTAAATTAAAGTATGTACAATAGGCGGTCTTATCACTCTGAAAGTGATTTCTTCAACAAAATAATAATAAAAAAAATAATACATACAAATAAAGATAAGTGAATATTATATATAAAATATCATATAATAGTTTAAATGAAAAGAGTACTAGAAAGGTAAAGTAATTTATCTAATAGCGTTCTAAATAATACGATTTAACAAGACTTTTGAAAGAGTGAAGAGATTTAGCACGACGAATATGGAGAGGTAAGGAGTTCCACAATCGCACAGCAGTTACGGTGAAGGATTTCTTGAAAAAGGAAGAAGAGTGCAAAGGTGTAGAGAGAGAAAGATTGACGGAGGATCGAAGGAACCGATTATGGGTAAGAGAAAGATACTGGAAACGGTTTTTTAAATAAAGAGGAGTGGAAGGATTAAACAGCACGCTATACAACTCGGAGAGAATGTGAGTATTCCTGCGAAGGCGGATCGGGAGCCATTTGAGTGTTTGCGAAATTCGGAAATATGATCATATTTGCGAAGCCCAAATATAAATCTAATGCATAAATTTTGAATGCGCTCAAGCTTATTAAGCTGCTCCTCGGTAATGTCAAGATAGCAAATATCAACAAAGTCAAGGATGGGCAGAAGTATAGACTGGTCGAGCGTAACTTTAGTTGCTGTGGGAAAAAAATTACGTAATCTACGTAAAGAGCTTAACGCAGCAAATATTTTTCTACTGACCTCATTAACCTGTGAGGTCCAAGACATACGGGAGTCAAGATACAACCCCAGGTTTTTAACCTTGTTACTGTAAGGGATTAGAGTGCAGTCTAGTATAATAGGGGGTAGGGAAGATCAGTCATTTTACCAATTAATCTAGAACTACCGATGACAATGACCTGAGTTTTCTTAGGATTAATCGTTAAACCATAACATTTACTCCAATTCGAAATACAAGCCAGATCAGCGTTAATAGTGTTGACTGCTTTAGATAGATCTTCAAGAGAGGACTGAGTATAGATTTGGAGATCATCAGCATACAAGTGGTAGGAAGAGGACAAATTATGACTTATAGAGTTAATGAAAATTGCAAAAAGGAGAGGAGACAACACGCCACCTTGTGGTACACCAGCAGCTGTAGTAGTCCAGGTGGTAAAAACCTCTTGCACCTGAATTTGCTGTCGGCGACCGAACAAGTAACTTCGAAACCAGTCAACTACAGTTGGAGATATGTTGAGAGAGCGCAGGATGCTTAACAAGATATAAAAATCTACTGTATTAAATGCGTTACTAAAATAAAGCAACGTGAGAATGGTAAGCTTTTGTTTCTCCATACCATACCGAATATCATCAGTGATTTGTAAAAGTGCAGTAGTCATACTATGGCCAGGACGGAAACCGGATTGCAAAGGATTTAAAAGATTGTGTTTTAAGAGATAGGTGCTTAATTGATTGTGCACAAGACGTTCTAGAACTTTGGAAAAGAAAGGCAAAATAGAGATAGGTCAATAATCAGAAAAACTAGAGGGATTTGATTGTTCGGAAG